ACAAACTGTGCCATCTTTGTAAGCCGATCTACTACAACAAAGATGCTATCAAATGAATTCGATGGCAGCAGGTCCATAATGAAGTCCATGGAAACTGAAGACCATGGTTGACGTGGAATAGGCAATGGCTGAAGAAGACCATAAGGACGATGCCAAGTGTTCTTGGATCTTGAACAAATGTCATAGGAGAGGACAAAATCCTTGACATCCTTCCACATTTGGGGCCACCAAAAATCTCGAATAATAAGTTCTCAAGTCTTGTTGAATCCAAAATATCCTGCAGTTGGAAAGTCGTATCAAGATTGGAGAACTCGGAGTCGTGCTGGTCCCTTTGGAATATACAACCGCTCTTCAAAATATAAAAGATCTCCTTCCACCTTAAACTTGTCATTATTGACACATTACATGATATTTAGGGCTACAAAATCTCCAATAGTCGTAGTACGTACTTGGTTGAGGAAGTCAGCATCAATTGGGACTATAACAGAGCAAAGCTTGAATTATTTCGACTTCAATAATATTGTACACTATTGATCAAACGCTGCTTCTCTAGCCTTTGGCACTAGATACGATCTCCTTGATAATGCATCGGATAGTTCTTGTTGCTTCCTAGGTCAATAAGTAATAACAATGTCAAACCTAGATAGTAACATATTCCATCGAGCTTGATAATGATTGAGAACGTGAGCCGACATAAAGTATTCCAAATTCTTGTGATCCAAGTATGTAGTCACCAGATACACAGCTCTTTCGAGGAAGTGATGCCACTCTTGAAAAGAATCTACTATCGCAAGAAGTTCTTTATTGTAGATCTCATAGTTGATCTTAGCAACAGAAAACTTTCGAGAGTAGAATACAACCGGATGAAGCTTCTCGTTTGTGCCTATCTACAAAAGTACAGCTCCCATAGCAAAATCTGAAGCATCGGTCTCCAAATAGAAGGCCTTTGCAAAGTCTGGATGTACCAAGATTGGAGCCATAGTAAATGTCGTCTTAAGATCTTGAAATACTTTTTTTGCTAGAGGTTCCTATTCTAGCTTATCTTTATATGTCAATCGAGTGAGTGGAGCAGTAATTTGAGAATAATTCTTGATGAAGATCTGATAGAAATTAGCAAAGCGAAGAAAGCATTGTACATCTCTAATCGTCTTTAGAACTTTCCATGATACGATTGCTTCCACCTTCTTAAGGTCCATCTTCTTTGAATTATGGCACAATTGAATTTTTGGGATTCATTCCACCTTTTTAGGGTCTATGGCACAATCGTATGGTCAATGCTTCGGTAGCATGTCGGCATTCTTCTTTTAAAATACGTCTTCAAAATCCTTATATTGCTCTGGTATATTTGTTGTCGAAATCTTCTCTTTGCTAATTGGAGTCACATAAATGACAAACTATGTGCCTTCTTTGGACAATGTTACAAACACTCTTGCTCCAATAAATAAGGATTCTTTGATTCGGGATCTTCTAACAAGCTTACTCTCGGAATGTTCTATAGGAAATGTCATCCTTTGTTACGGCTCACCATGCTCCAACTATATCAACAAGCAGCCTGAATTCATATTCAGAGGTGGAAGACATGCAAATTGACGTAGTACATGTCAAATTCCTAACTCTAGAAGAAAAAAAAGTGACATATGAAAAAAGGACTATACTTGTATTGCGGTGAAGAAGGCCACGGAGCTGGAAACTGCCCCAAGAAGCAAAATCAACGCATTGTTAGGACTAAAGGCACATTTATTCAGGAAAACGAAGATGCCCAGTCACAATAGGGACTGTGCGACTAGACAATTCAATACCACAACAACAATCAGGTTCTTCTCTTTTCGCTCAGCATGCCCATTGCTTTACCATTCCTCTATCTTTTGATCCTCAGAAACTAAAAACCTTAGCGTTATTAGATTCAAGAGCATCTGCTTGTTTTTTAGATGAAGAATTTGCTAAGAATCATAAGATTCTTCTAGTACAAAAATCTAAACCTGTTCACATAGAAGTAATAGATGGACGACCTTTATTATCTAGGAGTGTCACCCATAAATCAGAACCTATAGAGGTGACGTTTAAAGACCATAGTAGTTATATTATTTTCAATATTATTAGAATCCCGTCAAATCCTGTTATTCTTGGTCTTTCTTGGTTAGAAATGCATAACCCATCCATAGATTGGACGTATATTGTCTTGAGCGTTGGTCTTGGTGACGTTGGAATAGGCAATTATCGCACTTCACGGCTTGGCTAATGGCTTCGTTGAGCATTTGTAGATTGAGAAGAGATAATAATAAATCCTTTATGTCATCCCTCAAGCTCCAATAAAATTGAGTCATCAATGCTTCCTCAACCCAGTTGATGTCATATACTAATTGTCTAAAATCTGATGCATAGATTGACATAGAGCGTGTCTCTTATCGTAGCGACCAGATCTTTGTTGTAGTCCATTGCGCCTTGTCATGTTTGCCAAATGCTTCTGCAAACACATCTAAAAAAGTTTTGAAGTTGTTCGAAATTGATGATCTTTTCTCAAACAAAGGAGCAAACCATAATAGAGCTTGCCTTGCGAGCAAAGTTCCAACTAGTTGAAGACGTGATTCCTCCGTCGCATAGCGTTCAGGCTGTAAAGTTGTTATCAATCTAATTTGATTGATAAAACCTCGAAACTTAGAATGCGTACCATCAAACTTATCTGGAAGGCTAATTTGGGACTCTTTTCATTGTAAGACCAACGGTCCTTGTTGAATTAGAGGTAAGGCTGCTTCTCTTAGTACTGAAGCTTGAGGCTAGTGAATCCTCGATTGTGCCATCTTGGATGCTCCATCATTATGAAGTCTTGCAATGATTCTTTCAATCTCTACAGTTCTTTGTGATAACGTAGGAAGAGCATTTATAATGGTGTCCAACTTTGACTTTGAACTTTCAATCATACTAATATCTTGACCTCCGGCCATTCTAAGAGAAGGAAAGAAATGACTCTACAAGAAGGTAGTATTGGTTTAGAGGAGGGTACTCCGCAACCTCTACAATGCCTTAAAACCTTCAAAAAAAGAGATAATCCACTCTCTCTAAGAAAAATAAAACTTCAGTATTATAATAGAAGAAATATCAATTTAGAAGAGGATAATCTATAATTTCTAAAATACCAATACCTTCAAACAAAGGAATAATCTACACTCTAACAAGAAAGAAGAAGCTCTGATATTAAAGATGAGTGTAGTCTCGACAAACTGTCACAAATTTAGAATATTCACTGAAAATCTAAACAAGAAGCTCAAGAAGAATCGACAAGAATCAGATTAATCAGATGAGTACAAGAACAACACTAGAGAGGTGAGCTAGAGCTCCAAGAGGTGTGTTGTCGAGATTGAAGATCCCCTCAATCTCAGCTCCTATATATATTACAAGCTAGGAAGCTTCTCAAGTAGCTTCCACAAACTAAGAAGCCTCTCAAGCAGCTTCTGTGAGTTAAGAAGCTTCTCAAGCAGCTTCCACGAGCTTGAAAACTTCTCAAGTAGCTTCTACAAACTACAAAGCTTCTCTAAAACCTTCTAAAATCTTCTACAACTTCATAGTGTATGTCTTTGATACCATGCCCACAAGCCCCGCTAATTCAATTATTGAGATGCAAACAATTGGGCTTTTATTATCATTCTAATAAGAAAGCATGAATGATTATGATTTTTTTTTCAAGAATGGTTGAAAAAGCACAATGAAGAGATGAAAAGGGCTCATTGGTGGATTGTTCTTCTAATGATAATATACCATTGCATATTACAAATAATTTTATGACTCTAAACATTGACATTTGTATACTTCTTCTAAATATTTTATTGAAGATCCAACCAATGGATGTTGGAATTATTGCAATATTTATGTGGTACTATAGGTGCTTCTATATGCAAAATATTCTTGATTAAGACAAAGAAAATGAGGTCAACGTGTATAAGTTTGATCAACTAACAACAATGCATTGGTTACTTGCAACTTAAATAGAACTATTTCCAACAATAATAAAGAATTGCTTTAGGTATACTTGGCTCAATCTAGTCAAATTTTTATATTCAACTAGATGATTACAAGATTATTAAGCTTGTTGAGCTTGTTCATCATTAATAAGCAGAGAAAGGCGAAGATGCTTACAACATGCTTAAAAAAGAGTCAGGAGCTATGTCATTCATGCATACAAAGAAGCTATGAAGCCTTTCCATTATTATATCTATGCTTGATGTTGGGAATCTAAGTAAGTATGCTATCCACAAGTTTCTTTGCAATATTTAGCAAAAGTTGTATATAAAAGGTCTCCAACAAAATACGCTCGATTCTTAGTTAAGATAGTAGCCCTTTTGTTTATTTGCATTCCCTTCTGCTTTCCTTGTCCCTATTTTTCTGCTCTTCTACAAAGTTATATTTTTTTTTGTCAAAACCATAATTAAGAACTTAGAAGAAATATAACATAACCACCATAGAACTATGAGAGTTCTTCCATTTTTTAATAATTTATTGGAGGTTAGAACTTAGTCGAAGAGAATTTAGTAGAGATAATATTGTAGTTGATATAAATATTTTGTATAATTTGCTATTAAAATGATTTGGCTTCTTTTTATAATTTACTCTTCTTATAAATATTTATTTAGATATAATGTCTATATTTAATCAAAATTTACAATGGAAATTTTATTAACAACATAATTTGATATTAGATAGAAAAATTTATATATCTATATATATAAGAGCAAAATTCAACTACTTAAAACCATTGCATGTGCTAAAAAGATTTCAAATTTCTTCAAAAAAAATTACTATTTCCTTCTTTTAGTGAAGAACTGTATTCTTTAGTTATTGAACATATGTCACACAAACCTTATTTACAACAATTTTCAAAGGTGTACTCTAATCCATTAAAGTGTCTTTCTTTTAGAAACACCTGATGGTAACATACCTTTTCCTACCTTTGTATTCAAATATGTAGATATATAAAATAAATAAATACTTGACAGCTTTCAATTTCTTTTTGACAAGTTCATTCTCTGTTCCATCTCCTTATCTGAATCACCCTATTCTGAACACCCCCCAATTCCATACATGACAACAAAGTTCAACATGTTGTTTTAACATGTGATATTAGTAAAGTATATTAGTAAAGTATCTGATAACATTAAATATTAGGGATAGCTGTGTTGATATTGGAGGAGCAAGCAGGATTGGCAACCGTTTGTGAACAATCCCGCAGTGTGACGCACACGTTTCTAGCTATGAAATGCACTTGGCTCGGGCCGCTTGCACAGTTCAATGTGCCATCGGAGCTGCAATGTGGTGTTGCAGCGTGCACATCGGTTCTACAGGCGAGGAAACGCCAATTGACGGACTGAGCGTTTGCTAAAGAGACGTCACCATTGCCACCGCACATGCTGCCGCAAGAAGCAGCGCTGCAAATGTTGATGGTCGGTGGAGTTCATCCGAAGGACTCTCCATTCGTCACTTCACTTCGCACCGCGGAACACAAAGTCATGACTCACGCCATGAAAACTCGTTTTCCCTCGGATGTTCTTTGTCCGTGCTGATTGCTGCATATTCTGTGTGGCGAGTGAATGTGTCGTGTGCTGACTAGTTTCATTCAACTCGCTAGAAACTTGAAGGATTTTCGAATCTCGGAGCGTTCGTCGCATCTGCTTTAGCACTTTCCAACATTTGGTTACCTGAAACACAACTTTAGGTTGTGAATTGAAGGAAATCTGTAGGGCATAGATGTGAAAGCAACTCCGTGATGGCCGGCTCGAGGTTGTCTCGCTGCTTGTATTACACATTTCGAAACGTAGCTAAAATCGTGGTGGGCATCAGACACCAAATCTTAAACAGAGATGTTGAACCGGTGGAAGGAGATTGTCATTGCAGCGTTGCGGCAGATTTGGGAGAGCGGAGGTACAAAGAACTGTGCGAGGACGGCGCTCTTTCACTCGAGATGATTGTTTACTGCCAGTCTGAGCTTAGCGCTGTTACAAAATCCCTACAGGCGTCTCGAAGGTTAGTGATACCCGGTTTCGACGACACAGAGCAGGTGAGAACAGGCATAATTCAATGTCGATGGTCCATTTTGAATGTAACAAATTATTTCCCAATACAAATTGCAACTGAAATAGCACTTATTATGTCAGCGCGTGGAGATTGTGGTGCAGAGGAAGAGATTTCTCAACCACGACTTTCTCATCCTGAAACTCCAACCTCGTGATCGAGACGTGCCGCCGTTACACATTTGGGCCGAGAAAGTGGGTGAAGACCATAGCAGCGGCGAAGATCGCCCAGGTATTCACATCTCACTTTGCAACGATGTTGAAGACGTCGAGCAAAGATGTTCTCTCCTTAAGATTGCATGTGGATGTTCCGTCAGTCTTCCCGACATCCTCTCCATTCTGCAGAGACAAGGTCCAAATTACGATGAAAGAAACGACAATTGCTGGGACTACACAAGAGAGACAACCAAGTGGCTGTTGGAGGCCTGCATTCAGGACTGCAGGACTAGGGCTAGAGATAAAATGAGGCTGCAGGCACAGGTGACACACTTGGAGGCGAATCTGTTCCGAAACCACGCCATCAACACTATCCAGAGCGCAGCGGAAATGTGCCGCAACTTGAATGCGCCTGTGCAGTGTCCATTGCAGACTCTCCGTATTGTCCACCGATGCTCTTGTGGTCTTCGGTGACCGCGGTCGTCGGGTCCTCGGTCTTCGGTATTTTATACTCGATTGTATAGACATGACTTTTGTGCCTATGTGTTATGGTTATACAACTGTACATATGCTAAAGTCATGGTTTTATACATATTGTATGAAGATCTTGTTATAATGTTGTATTATTTATATGTATGGTATAATAAAATAGTATTAATTTGACAAAGTGGGATTTTTAATTATAGTATATTTATTTATTTTTAAATAAAACTTACTTTTTTGAGACTAAATAAATTGTTGTTATTATTTTTGGCTAATAAATTTGAAAAAAAGAATAAATACCATCTCATTAATTTAATTGATTATTGAAATATTTGATATGAAATTTAATCATTTTTTAAAATTAATATTTTTATACTTTATATATTAATAAGTTACCAATAATCATAAGTGAAAAAAAATCTCATTAAGAAAAAAAAAAGATTTTATATTTTTAAGAAAAATTGTACTAATATTGTGGAGAACCAAAATACATTGCTCAACATTGTCTAAAGAAGCAATGCAATGATGAATAAGAAATTAAATTGTTAAAGAAGACAATGTGTTGGAAAATAAGTTTGTTTAATTATGATAGGGACAATGAGACTTGAATCTTATACAACAACTAATAAAGGTCTTATTTTCTTCTCAAAACCTTAACCTTGTTTTACAAAAGATATTTATTGTAAAATTTGTATCTATTTAGATTTAAGAGCTTCAACTTATTTTATAGACAAAGATTTTGTTAAAAAACATAAAATATTTGTAATAAAGAAAATTAAGCATCTACACAAAAACGTCACAAATTGTCATTTGTTGTCTTTTAGAGATATTATTAATAAAATTACTTATAAATAAAATAAATAATGATCATAATAATATGATAATATTTAGGGTTATTGATCACCTTCTAAGCTCATCATTTATGGTTTATTGTGACCAAAGAAGTATAATCCTTAAATTAACTAGATTTCTTATAATCTCAATTTATCTTATAGTATAATTCATACTTTTGTTATCTAAGTGAAAAGTCATAAGTTTAGTACAACCAAAGCTTTATTAGTAAGTGCAAGAGCTTCATATATGCAACAAAAAAAGACAATTTTTACTATCTATGCTACATCTATTTGTCACGGACATATATTTATTGTAATTATTACTTAGGTGATATGAATAGGTAGAAGTAGATAAAATTAGATTAATTTCATAATATCTTCTAGAGAAGCTTCCTAAAAACTTTATAGATGCTGCTTTGACTTTATATATGTTTATACTTGATTGGTAGGTCAGAAACTTGATCAACAAGTTAATCACGTGCCACACATATTGGTAGCTTACGGAACAAGCTAGCTATGTGGCGCTCACATAGAAAACTTGCCTTGCAAGTTAAGATAAGTGTTGTGCAAAGCCAACACGTTTTTGGAGGTCTTATAGAATATTGCCATGTAGCTCCCAAGTAGATAGTGTATAAGGAGGCAAGAGTGAAGCCTTCTTCACTCTTGTCAACTCCTTTCTTGCTTCTAGTCTAGTTTCAAGGGTCTCTAGTTTTCTTGTCTTTTGGCAATAGCCATTTCAGTTTCTTTCTTTATATATATATATATATATATATATATATATATATATATATATATATATATATATATATATATATATTATTTCTATTTTGTCATTTTTCTTTGAGAAAAAGTCTTACTTATCTATTTATTTTTATCAAGTTCTTGTCCTTGACAGATTGACAAGAGTGTACTTACAATATCAGAGCTTTGTCTAATCTTGATTAAGAGTGGATTACCTCCTTTTCTTGATAAGACACTAGCATATTAGAAGTTACGGATTACCTTCTTCTAAACTGATATTATTCTTAGTATTTTCTTTGTTCTCAAGTCCTCTCTTTTATTTGTCTTGAGCGATATTAGACATCTTCTCTTTTCCAAGTATTATTATGGTAGAACTTGTTGAAATAAAGAGTGCAATGGTACAAATGCAAGAGCAATTGAGGGAGTTAATGCTTGTAATGCATCAACTCAATTTACCACCACAAGGAACAACAAGATTGGTAGGAAGTGAAGATATAGAAATGATTGAAGCTGCTTTAATATTTGCACCAAATCATATCCCTTTTCTTATGGTAAAATATCCTTGTAGTATTAGAGAACCAAGAATTACCATATCGAAGAAGTTTGATGGCATCGGATCAAAGTTTAGAGGATTTATTAATCAAATACAACTTGTAATTAAACTTCAATTCCAAAGCTATCCATCTCCAGGATTGCAAGTTAGATTCATTGGTATAGTTCTTTCAGATTCAGCATTATCATGGCTTTCATCTTTTTTTGAACGTCGAGATTCAATATTGGATAATTTGGAGGCTTCTTTGATAGAGTTTTGATCCATGTATGGAGAGTATGATGCAATTTGTGTTGCAACCAACAAGATCCGTATTTTACGACAAGACAATTGATCAGTAATGTTGTATGCTTCACAGTTTTGACAACTTGCAACTGATATCAAATAGGATGATACTGTACTTGATAGCCAATTTCTCTACGGATTAAAATATGAGGTAAAAAAATTGATGCTCAACTTACCTAATCCTCAAACATTGACTCAAGCAATTGGCTTTGCTACAAAGTGCGATAATTATTTTTTTGAATTTTGATTAGAGAATCATACAAATAGACCTCAACGTTACTATAATTCAATGGCAACACCAATGTCTCTTCAACACATACATTCTGAAGTAGAGGATACACAAATTGATGCGGTATGTTTCAAACTTCTTATTGAGCAAGAAAAGATTCATCATTGTTAGGAAGGATTGTGCTTATATTGTGGAGAACCTAAGCACACTACTCAATATTGCTCAAAGAAGTGACACAACCATAAAATAAAGAGTATGTCTATCAAATAAGATAGTATGTCAAAAAACAAGTTTATCTAGATACAATAGGAACCGTGTGGCTGGAACCTTGTACAACACCTAGTGAAGGTCCTATTTTCTCCTCAAAACTCTTTCCTTCTTTTACTATAAATTTTATTTTAGGACCTTAATATCACAAAGCCTCTACCTTGTTAGATTGAGGAGTCTCAACATGTTTTTTAGATGAAGAATTTGTTAAAAGATATAGCATATTTTTAATGAAGAAAACTAAATCTATTCATATAGAAGTCATAGATGATCATCCGTTGTCTTCAAGAGATATTATTCATGAAATACTTCCTATAGAAGTAGCAACTAATGGTCATATTAGCTTTGTAATATTTAATATCATTAGATCTCCCTCTAATCTAGTCATTTTAGGTTTATCATGGCTAAAAAAATATAACCCTAAAATAGATTAGACTTCTTGTAATCTTGACTTTTCTAAAACCATCACAATAACCTTGTAAGTCAATGTTTTTACTACCAAGGCATAATTTAAAGTCTTTTGTAACTTTTAAGTACCTCAATATCTTCTTTACCATTTTCCAATGCATTAGTCCAGCCTTAGACATGTATTGGCTTACAACACTTATCACATAAGCAAGATCTACTCTTGTGGCCACTATTCCAAACATGACTAAGCCTACAACTGCCTTATATGGAATACTTTGCATCTCACCTTCAACTTGTACAAACTCTTCATCCATGAACTTCATTAACTTCAAATTTACCTCCGAGGATGTTCCAAGGGATTGCACTTCTCCATGTTGAATTGTTTCAATATTTCTTCAATGTACTTGGTTAGGCTTATTATAATGGTCTTATTACCATGATCTCTTATAAATTCCACTCTCAAAAAATAGTACAACTTTTTCAAATCACTCATCTCATATTTCTTCTCTAATTAGGCCTTCATCCAATCCATCTTTTCCATATTGTTAGTCAAGATGATCAAATCATCAATATAAAGGATTAAAATTTGTAAGAACTCTCTAGATTGCATCACATACAATGAATGATCAGCCTCACTCCTCACAAACCCTTTATTGACAAAAAAGGTGTCAATTTGTTGGTACCACGCCCTTGGTGATAGTTTAAATCTATACAAGGATTTTTTTAATTTGCACATAAGATGTTCTTTGCCTTGTTGTAGAAATCCTTGAGTTTGATCCATGTAGATGTCTTCTTATAATTTTCTATTCAAAAAGGCCGTCTTTATATCTATTTGATGTATTTCCAAATTCATTGCTGCTTCAATAGCTACAATGGTTCTAATGGTGGTGAATTTGGCAAAGGGTACATAAGTCTCATTGAAATCAATTCCAACAACTTGTGAATATCCTTTGGTAACTAATCTTACCTTGTGCCTCACCACCACACCCATTGCATCTCTTTTAGTCCTAAACACATACTTACAACCAACACTAGATCGATTTGTTGGAAGAGGTGTCAATTTCCATATACCATTGTCTCTTAGAATTAGGTACTAATCTTTATTGAAGAAAAGTACTTTAAAAGCTATAAATACTTAGCATCAACAAGGAGTGTAGTCTAAGAGAAGTACTTCCAATACTCTTTACTTATAGATGGTGGTTTACTTACCAACGATGTAACTTCCAACTTTTGATATTACATCCATTTTTACTTCATCCACCTAAATCCTAGGTTCTTTCTTAACTTAGCTGCTACCTACAAGCCCTTCGTGCCACCACAATAACTTACTTTAACTCTTTGCTATCTTTTTATCATTTGCAACATATAATGCTTAATCTCAATATGGTTATAACTAAGCAAGTAATTGCTGATCTTCAATATTCTCACTTTCCTAATATTCAAAAGGCTTTTAATCCTAATCTCTGAATGAGATCATGATGTCTATCCTTTACTAATGTCTAAAATATCATTCCTATGATTGCTCAATTGACCTTCAAAAAGGAGCACAACCATCATTTGGACCAATCTACAATTTATTACAAAATGAGTTGGTTGAACTCAAGGAGTATATTGAAGAAAATCTAGTCAAGAACTTCATATGCCATTCCAAATCTCCAGCAAGAGCTCAAATTTTATTTGTGAAGAAAAAAAATGAATCATTGCGAATGTGTGTCGATTATCAAGGACTCAACAAAATCACCATCAAGAACAAGTATTTGCTACATTTGATATCTGCATTCCTTGATCAATTGAATCAAACTAAGATCTATACAAAAATAGATTTATAAGGAGCATAGAATCTGGTATGCATCAAAAAAGGAGAT